TCTGTGCTGCCTCTGTGCTTTCTGGCTCCTGGAGAAGACACAGGATTTTGCATGTTGTGCCATCACCCCAGGGCTCATGTCGCTGCTGCTGGATCTGCTGCTTTATTTCTCATCAGCAAACGTTATCCTGGGAGACATGAAGGTTGCAAAGATCAGGAGGTGTTGGCTTAGGAGGAGGGTAAAAAGTTATTTTGGTGATATCTGCATGGTGCAGAGGAGATGGGAAAGGGAACAAAACACTCTCTGGCCCAAGTAGTGTCCTGCAAAAGGAGGAGCTGTGAAGCTTGAGTCGTGTGTGGGGTGGAGCGAATCCAGGAGCCCAGATCCTTGGGTTCACCCTGGGGGAGAAATAATATTGCCAAAGCTTCCCAGCACTGGGAGGAGAGGGAAACTTTTCCAAAAAAACAGAAGGAAGTCGTTGAAATGAGGGGAAGTGTCACAGCCTGTCCACAGCTGGTGGTGGGAACCAAGGACGTAACTCGGGAGCTCTGGCTCCTCCTTGGATGCCCTCTCTGCTGGTCCAGGGTTTCTGGACTAGAGAGACCAGATGTCTTTCAGATACATGAACTCATCTGCTGTGGGACCCAAGTTTAACAGCTACTGTTCAAAACTGCTTAATGCAAAGCTGTCTGCGGGGTGGCAGTGATCAGAGAGGAGGAAGGACCTGATGTGGCTACCGAGCGTGCATTTCCTGGGGAGCCACGAGCTGCTGAAGAGATGCTCTCCTCACCCTGGCCCCTCTGTTTCTTGCCGTCTTGTTTTTCTGACTCAGTCGATTGAACTATTGCTGCTTTTCTCAGGAAATGGCTCAACAGCTGAGTGGATCTTCTCCTCTGGGATTTTTCATATATCCAACACATTTCTCCCTGGCTTGGTTTCCTCCACGAGGGAGACGTGCTGAGAGCCCCCTCCTTCTCTCGCTGAGCTCTCTCGATGGCTGTGTTCCCTCTCCTCGCTGTTTAGGCAAGTTGAAAAATATTTAATTATCATTAAATGCATTCTGCAAGAGAAGATTGCTGTGCTAGTAAAACCGGAATGGACATGACTGGGGAGCAAATGAACATTTTTCAAAGAAAGGGTCTGAACACGCCGCGCGTGGACCCGAAATAGGTCCCTCCCACAGAAAGGCCCCGGGTGACCCATCGCTTCCCGGCGCAATTACCAGAGTCTTGGCAGCTGGCAAGATCAGCAAATGGGGTTTATGTCAGAGCTTGTTACCTTAATTTGGTTAATTGTAGAGCAGAGTGCAGTTGAACAACCAGTTCAAACCAGGTTTCCGATGGCCGGGGTGCCGGGCACGGGCAGGGCAGTGCCTAGAGAGTGGCTGGGGGGGACGGGGAGCTGGGAGGGTGGGCAGAGCATGGCTTTGCCTGGGATGTTCTCGTTAATGGACCTCTGGCTTTGTGGGAGCAGGTCGAGGCCAGGCTTGGCAGCCTCACCTGCAGATTTGTAACCCTTGATTTCATCCAAAGTCTGCAATTCAAACTTCCAGAGTCCAGAGGCTTGAATTGCACCTTCAGGCTTGAAAGAAGCAGCATCTGGAACTGAGGTTCATGGGTTCATACCTCTATTTTGAACAGCAGGTCCTAATGAGTATTTGTATTAGAGGAAGGAGGTAAGAATGATGGTGCTGGACCATCCTACCCAGTGTCCCCAGTCTCCACAAGCACCAGGGGGTAAGCATAAGAATAAGGAGGACACATGGTGCTTCCTGGAGGCTTTCTCAGCCTCTGGTGCACCTCTGGGGCCTCTGTGTGATGGATTTCTGTTCCAAGGGTTTGCGGGTGCAGTCAGAGCTCACCCACTGCATTTTACAGCTTGGCCCATGTGGGAAGATGACTGGGATGCCTTTCCAGCATCGCTGCTGGAGCTTGGCTTTCTTGCTGCAAGGCACAGGACATGGTGCCAGTTATGTCTGTAAAGGCATCGCTGGTGGGCACAATTGGTTATTTTTCTGGTGGCTGGCAGGGTGGGACAAGAGCCTTGCTGTAGTAATGGAGGGAGAGGACATTGCTCTGCTGGGATGTGATCTTTGGGGGGTGTTTGTTAAGGAACCAGGAAGCAATAAAGCATGGAAGAAGCAAACACTGTGGGAAAGGGGTATCAAGCAGACACCTGGGAATACAAGCTTGTCCCCTTGGAGTGGGAAGAGACAGATCTCAGCTCTTCTGGTTGTTTAATCGTGTTCTGACGTGTTGCTAAACCCATTGTACAAGGGGGAGCACGGAGACGTGAAGTTTAGCAACTCCCTACAAGTTTTTGGAGAGGTGGAACTCTTGCTGGGTGAGGTGGGGAGAGGGCAGCGAGGTGTCAGCTCCCCAAGTGCTGAGGAGGAACAGAAAGCCCCTTCCCTTTCCTGCCTGCTCTCCTCTCCTGGCTGCTTCCACGCTGACTCCTTTGCCGGGAGCTACATTTCAGGGCTTCAAAGCGATGGGTTAGGTGTGGTGCGTGCCACGGCGGGTGCAAGAAGAGGTTTGTGAGTAATTAGTCATGTCCCACCCACCCATCCCTCCGTCCATCACCCCCCAGCCCACCCACAGAGTAATGAAATGCCAGGCTTTGTCTTCATTTCTTTGCCTCAGTGCTGCTTGCGGAACTCTCCTGCCTTTCCCTCCTCTTTACTCATGTGTCCTGGAGGGCAGGCGGTCCTCCTGACACAAAGCCAATGTCTCTACAGCCCAGCAGGCCACCCAGTTGGGCTTGGACCCTTCCTTGCCCAGAGGCTGAAGATGCTTGGTTCCCAAGCGGGTGGCACATCCTGAATCCAGGCATGTGGTTTCGTCTGGGGACCACCGATGTTCTCCTCCCCTCCTGGCCAGCTGGGCCAGGGCAGCAGATCAGCCCTTCCTTGGTGGCACCAGCACATGGTTTCTCTGTGAGGTTTGGGAAGAAAAATGAATGTTTGGCCTGAGAGCTTTTTGCCTGTGACAAACCAAAAGGGACTTTTGGTGGAAGCTGGTGTCCAGCTGTGGACAAGAAGTGGAGGTGTGAACCCACAGCACAATGCTGCTTGTGCCCTGGCTCCTCCTGGATCAGAGCATCCTCCTGACCTGGTAAAGGTGGTGATGCCTTGGCCTGGGCAGGAGCTGGGTTACTGGCAGAGCATGAGACCTTTGAGAAGAGATCTCCTGATGGATGTTTGAAATGCTTTGAGAGCTCTGCTCGTCTCCTAGTCCATCTGTGTGCTGTTCCAGTAGCTAATTACAGTCACTGTTAACAAAAAGTGTATCTTATTCCCATAACAAAAGACCTGGAAAGAACTAGACTGGTAATTATTCAGGAGGGGCAGAAAATAAACTCAGGAAAGCTGAGCCTGAGGGATCCAGCAGAATGTGATATCGTGCACACCCACCTCCTGCTCAGCCTTTTTATTCAGCCAGCCCAAGCCATTAATGCTAAATTAAGACTATATGACTGAACCTATAAACTAGGAATTAAGGTTAAACTCGCAGCTTTATGTCAGTCTCTTTGCATGGGACAGGAACTGGCCAGAGAAGGCGGCAGAGGGATGCTGGTTTCCTGGGGAACTTTGTGAGCAGAGAGCATTCTGCACACTGTGTTAGGGAAATTCTTTTTTCCCTGGTTAGGATTCAGCAGGAGGGGGAAAAGGAGGTGAAGGAAGCAATGCCCAGGATGGAAAGGCTGGGAACAAAGCTGGAGGGTCAGGTAGAGGGGGGGAAAGACAAGATTTAGCTCTCCCACACGTGCAGGGAAGCTCCGTGTCACTGGCACAGATTTGGAGCAGTCCCTTGTGAAGCCTAATGAATGAAAGATGCCCCAGCAGACCAATAGTGCCATCAGGAAAACTTCCCCTTTCCCACAGCTGGAAAGAGAGACCGAGGCATTAAAAGGTCTGTGCATGCACATTTGTTACCCAGCCTCTGCAGAAGTGGCTTTTGGTGGCATAGGGGAGTGGAAGTTTCCAGTGTGAGAAGGGAAGAGAGGCCATCCAGAGGAAAAATGCCTGGTATGTTAAGGTCCCTCTCCTTTCCCCAGATGCAGGACCTGGGTACCTTGTGCTGAGTTGAAGGGTTAAGCTCCAGGCCCTGCTGACTGCCATGTGATGCAGTTGCTCGGGCGATTAGTGAAGATCTATGCCCTAAGAGGAATCACATGGGCTTCAACAGGGCGCCCTGGATGCAAAGGAGCCCTGCTGAATCCTGCCTCGCTCCCCACTTCTGTCCCCCCAGCCAGGTTCGGGGAGGGGAGCGTGGCTTCAGCATCCCAGACCTGCACCCAGGCTCCACATCAAAAGACAGGGAACAAAACAACTGCGGGTCGTTTTAAAGCAAAATAAATAAACCCTCGACTGCTTTGGGAGAGTTCTTACCGAAGGTACAATTGAGTCGTCTATTTATGGCTTATTATTTCAAAAGCAGATACATAACAGGAACTTTTGATATTCAAGTCCTAAAGAAGCTAACTTCTGATATTCAAACCCCAAAGAACCTGACTTCCCACAATCAAAGGGATTGCCATAACCCTCTGCTTTATCAGGTGGCTGGTGGGACGAGAGGAAATCCTGGGTTTCTGCTTTATTGGGTGGCTGGTGGAAGCGGAGGAAATCCTGGATATTTTATCGAATGAAAGCAGCTTTCAGTTGAGAGGACAATGTGACAATATCTGTTTGCATAGCATCTTCCAGCAGGAAGGTCCCCAGAATGTTTTCTTCGTGGGGAGAAGGTATCTGGGAGATTACCTCGGTGATAGCACGTTGCAGTGTGAGAAAGTTTTGAGGACTCAGTAATGGCCAGTTGTTTGAAACAAGTATATTTGGGGCTGATTTGGTGGAAGAATTAAAAACACTGTAAAACTAGAGGAACCAGCCCAATAGAAATATGTACTCGGGCTCCCTAGTGTAACCTGAAATGCTTCAGCATGATAATTAAGTATCCAAAGAGCAGCTTTTTCCTCCAGGTTTCTCAGTTTCAGCACCCACAAAAGCCTTTGGGGTTCACAGCCCATCTGCATTGATCCATTCTTGGTTTTGTTTTCTGCAGGTGATGTGACAAACCTGACTCCTGAGCACTCCTTTGAAGGCACAAAAGTAGGCGTGGGGAACATCGTGTTAGCTTTGTACAGTGGTCTCTTTGCCTATGGAGGATGGTAAGATGCAGCTCTCTCTCTTTTTTTTTTTTTTTTCAGCGCTAAATACTGTAATCTGGAATCTGTAATTCCTTTTGTCCCCAGATTGTGTTTGCAGGAAGAGCGTGGTGCAGAACTTCCCATCTTTCTTGTAACCTGGGCAATGAGGCAGATGCTTTGGGTTTGCCTAGTAATGTTGATAGGCATACTTCACACCCTGCTTCCAGCCAGGACATAGAAGCACAAAGAGGTGGAGGTGGTTATAGGGTTTAGAAGAGGCAGGTGATGATGTACCATGATGCTTCTAGGTGGTGTTAAGAGGAAGCAGCAGGGTGGATCTGGCCAGCAGAAGAGAGGTGTGCTACATGCCAACAGATTACTTTGAGCACCAAACTGAAGCTCCTGGAGGGCTTCTTTGAGCACTTCCAAGCACAAGGAGACTGCTCAGTTTGCTTTGAAGACAGGTCAGTTGCAGCCATCCTTATCGCTTGGAGAGTGGCCCTGTCACTTGTGGGTCCAGCTTTTCACCTGCCGTCATCCCTCCTTTTGCAAGGAAGCTGGCAAAAGGTGTGCTACATCCACAAAGCTGGCAAAAAGTATGGTGTGCTACATCCACCAGCACCATCCAGGGCTTGCGGACTGGGCGTCAGCCATCATAAGTTTTACTGCAGGTGTCAGGTGCTCCAACCCTCCTGAAGCTCCCTTGCAGATGAGTAAGATGAATGGACAGACCAGGATTAACTACTGTTCTTTTAAATTACAGGAATTACTTGAATTTTGTTACAGAAGAGATGATAAATCCCTACAGGTAGGTGTGTGTCCCGTGATAATTTCCCCCATAGGAACGCCCCTTCCTTGTGTGTGTAACAGGGGTTGCTAATCAGCCCAGAAGTCAAGGTCTTTTTCTGGGGAAATAGAAAATGAGATAAATAAATGGTGTTGTTCCTCCCTGGAATAGAGGAAGGGGAATAATAATCCCTGTATGAGAAGGGCTGTTGCTCGTGCTGCCTTCCTGTACTGCTAATATTATCAGTGGTGTCGGAAAGTCCTGCTTCCTTGGCATGGCACCTCTCTGAATCATAGGCGAGGAAGAAGGACTCGTGGCTTTATTACAGTCTTGGATAAACTTCCACAAGAGTATTTGTTTGTGCATATGTTTGTCATGTGCCCTTCCTGTTCTCTTGAGCAATAGCCGCTTTCTGCGCTGCTCGTGCCTTTCGGGGTTATGCAGGGGACCTGGTGAGGTGAGGGTGGGCCACACCAAAGCGGGACATCGCTGAGAAATCATTTTTGGTCCCAGGGAAGGTGCCTGTGAGGCACGGTGGATATGAACTTCAGGGTCACTTGGTGCAAGAACCCATTCCTGGCTGACCCAGGCAGTGATTAGCGCCTGCCGGGAAGCATAAGATTTGATATGCCCTTTCCTTGACAAACACAGTTATAAAAAGGTTTTTGCAGTTTGCAATTATTTTCTTGTCCTCTGAATGCAGTCATGGTATTTGACTCTCTCCTCCTGGGGCTTTGAGCTCCACTAGACCAATTATACGTGGCATCAAGCAGAGTTCCCTTTTTCAGTTTCCGTTCGCAAATGAAGTTAGATTATTTGGAAAGGCAGATTTGTACCAACACAGCCTCGTCTTTACAGACCCTCTCAGACTGTGTCTGAAAACTCATTTTCTTTGAGTTTCATCAGTCCAGCCAGCTGCACAGAGTTAGAGCCTAAAAACTGCCCGCTAAATCCCTGATCTTTCCACCTCCCGTGAGAAACCCACCAGCACAAATGCTTCTCCTTTGCCCAGAAGAGAAGGAATGTGCTAATGCCACTGGCTAGCAACAGACACGGAGGGGTATTTTTAATTAATTGCCTTTGCAGTGATCTTGAATTACTGCTTGCCCAGATGGCTGGAGTCTTTCCACGCAAAATAGAATCATCTAGGTTGGAAGGGACCTTCAAGATCATCTAGTCCAACCATCAACCTAACTCTGACAAAAAAACCCATCACTAAACCATGTCCCCCAGCACCATGTCAAAAGGTCCCTTCTGCCATAATCCTTCCCTCTACGTCTCTCAGCCCCCAGGCTGTTCCCCTGTGGCTGTCCTTTCCTCTCCCAGGGGAGCAGCCCGTGGCTGGGAAAGTGGAATTGCTGAAGAGCCAAAGAAGAGCAGGAGGGCTGGAGCATGAGGCACCGATCCCTGGTGTGGGCAGTTCTCCCCCCCAGCCCGCAGCGCTCCGTTACAATTGATATTCTCTTCCTAGAAACCTGCCTCTGGCTATCATCATCTCGCTACCTGTAGTCACTTTGGTTTATGTGCTGACAAACTTGGCTTACTTCACGACCCTGTCGACGGAGCAGATGCTGACGTCCGAAGCCGTGGCTGTGGTAAGACCCGTGCATTTCTGATGTGACTCATCAGCTCTTTTCCAGGGCTGGTTAAATCGAACTCACAATCTCTGCGTACGGTCCCCTAGTTTGTTCCGTGCTGATCGTGGCTGCGTACAAAAAAATGCTGATGGTTGACAGGAGATAAAGAGCAACTGTGACGGGAGGAGGGAAGAACAGTGTGATACCGAGTGGGATTAATCACAGACAATAGTAAGGGTGGGCAGACAGTTAACGCTGCTCTTAATTCGTAAATATGCAAGGTTGCTGCTGGCCTCATGACTTATCATCAGTTACCAGAGCATGGTATTTATGGGAAAAGGTCATTCCAGTCAATACTGCACTAGATTGTTCTCTCTCTGTATCTTCCTTGTTTTAATTAAGAGAGAAAAATAATACTTCTATTAATTAAAATGCCACGGCGGTCAGAAACCCTGATTGCTTCCGAAGTGAGCAGCGTGGTATGACCTTGTGAACTGAGTGTGACCAGGATTGTTGGGTGCCTGAAGGGGGATCTCCTGGTTCAGGATAAGCTGGTCTGGGCCATTCAGGTGACAGTGCTCCATCCTTTGGGTTAGTCCCCAGCCCCGCTCCAGCCTGGGCTGAGCTGTTGGAGATGCCAGGCTCTGCTGCGTTGCTCTAGTTGTGTGTCTTTGAGAGTCTTGGAATCAATGTCCTAGTGTTGGCATAAAACTGCAGCGAAGGAGCGCGGGTCAGTTTGTGATACCAAACTCCAGCTCCAGGTCTCTGCATCTCTAAGGGGCTGTGTCCCAAGTCCTTACTCAGCAGTTGGCAATAGCTGCCTGTCTGAATCTCCTCCCAGATTCTGTTTGGTCTTGAACTTTTGGGTAGCTTTTCTGATAATCTTGTGTCCCGATTCTGGGGGAAGCATTTTCTGCTGTTTTGTTTTGTTTTATGGTTTTTTGCAATTCCATGATATGATTCTTCAGGATGAATATGGAAAACTCCATAACACCTTCAGCACTAAGCCATGTCGTTTGTTCAGATGTCTATAACTATTAAATCTTTGTAGGCAGCTGTGAATTCTTTTGGGCATTTTGGGCGTGAACTGTCTGTCTTGTTGCCCCCCGTGTAGGATTTTGGGAACTACCACCTTGGTGTCATGTCCTGGATCATACCTGTCTTTGTTGGCTTGTCGTGCTTTGGATCTGTTAATGGATCTCTCTTCACTTCTTCCCGGTAGGTTTCTTACTCAATTTTGTGGTTTTTGTTTACAAGCCATGCTTAATGCATCTTCGTTTGGAGTTGTCCTCCAAAGAGTGGCTGTGGGTAGACATAAAGTTTAAAGGGTCTGGAGACCATGTGGGGAAGGCAAAAAAAAAATAATTTTTAAAGACTTCAAAACCATATCCAGTTTAAAGGAAACCCTTTCAGTGGTCTTAGTCTTCTCTTCCTCGGGCGAAGTCCTGCTGAAGTTATTAGAACATAAACAAACACAGGCCTGGGGCTCAGTGATGTTGCCTGAGAAAGTGGCTTTAATGAAAAGCAGAAACTTCGGAAACTTCAGGGCTGAGAATCCCTCCAGAAAGAGGAGAAAGGACGGGGACTGTGGAAGTTCCAGCTCTGACACATATCTCCTGGGTTGTCTCAGGAAAGTCACTTAATTGATGTCTCTGAAAAGGAGGCTATAAATACATCTTTTCTTGCATTCTTTGTCCATCTCCAGCCTTCCTTCTGAGACAGGGACTATCAATGGTGTATGTGCAGAGTGGCTCGTGCTGGGGTCTGACCCAGGCACTAAACCAGTGCGTAGGAAAAGGGCACACCTGGCATCGTGCAAGGCACCACGAAGGTGGAAAACCTGTGTGGAGCCTGTCTAGGCAGGGCTTGGGCTGTCCCCACTTGATTTTTGCTGAAGACAAACCCCAGCCTGGGGCTGAAGGTGATAACTGTTCTCTCTCCTCACCTCAGGCTGTTCTTCGTGGGATCCCGAGAAGGACACTTGCCTTCAATCCTGTCTATGATTCACCCCAGGCTTCTCACTCCTGTGCCATCCCTCATCTTCACGGTAAGTACCCGAGTCTGTGGTGATGTCCTGGTATTGAGAAATGGGCTGGGGGTAGGATCCCATCAGAGTGGTTGGAGGGGGGTTACTTGGGCACCACACAGTCATTCCTGCACGCGCCTACAGGAGAGGATAGAACCTTCTCCTTCTCATCATATCCTCATATTCCACTTCTGTTTTGAAATTGCTCCAGGCACCAATTGAAAATGGCTTAAATAAGGAAAAAAATAATCAATGTGATTCTTGCCCTGGCAGATAGTTCTTCTAAAATACCTGTATTAAGTGTTGTAACATCCATGGTTTTCCTTACTCTCTTTGCTAATGGCTTTGTATTTTTTTTTGGCTGCAGTGCGTCATGACCCTGCTGTATGCCTTCTCCAACAACATCTTCTCAGTCATCAACTTCTTCAGCTTTTTCAACTGGCTGTGCGTGGCTCTGGCCATCATCGGCATGATGTGGCTGCGTTACAAGAAGCCAGAGCTGGAAAGGCCCATCAAGGTGAGAGCAGCGTGGTCATGGCGTGGTGGGTCCTCCCCGAGCCCCTTCTCAGCACCAGGGGAGGTTCTGCAAGTATGGCTGCTCTGTCCTGTATGGAAGAGGGACTGGGATTGCCAGAGTGCAGGGAAAATGCTGTGTTGTGGCTGAGGCAGGTGTTCCTGCTGCACGGAAATCTGCCGAACACGAATCGGTGCAGGAGGACATCGGAGTGAAGGAGGCTCTGGGTGTCAGAGATGCGGGGTGTTCTGGTGGGGTGGCCCAGTGGGGAGCTCTGGGTGACTAACATATTCCCCAGGACAAACCCCAGGCTGCGGCTCTCGGTGAAACGCTCTGTACCGTCATGGAATTCACTTAAAATAGTTTTTTAATAAAGCAGGCAAACCCACGCCTGCAGAGAGGAGAACTTTGTTCTCTTTGTCCTTGGCCAGCTTGGCAGCACCGTGTCCCATCTGGGAGGAGGCCAAGATCATGTCAGCCACAAGCATGTCTGCCTTCCTTAAAGGCATGTTTCTCGCTCGTCCCCCTGCGCGCTCAGGTCTCTGCCAGGCAACAGCCAGCCAGAGAGAAACAAACTCACGGACCTGCACCGTAACTCTTTGCGGGGTGTTTCCTTTGGGTTTTTTGTTGGTTTTTTTTTTTCCTTCTGAAAGCTGGGCTGCTCTCAGCGTGTGCCCTGCTCAGAGCAGCGTGGCTGAGTGCCCTGAGAAACTGCAGGGAAGATGCTGCGGCTCCTGCCATGGGTGCTGCTGGATTCCATGCTGTGGGTGCGGGTGCTTTTTATAAGGAATCATTCAAGTGCGGAATTGGGGTGAAAAAAAAATGGGTGCTGAGGAAGGTTTACGCCGTCTTGGCCGGCCACATCTCCTTACTCTGTTTGGCTGGTATTAAACGTGTGTGTTAGGTGTTGCCTACTTCCAGTTTCTCCAGGATTGCTGGAGAGCACTGCCGGAATAGATACCCTCCTCGTGAAGGTCATGGTCCCCTTGTTCAGAGCACTGGGACAGACAGGAGCACTGTCCACATAACGGTCCATGGTGCAATATGGACTCCTTCCCTCCTCAGGCCGTATGGCTAGATAAAATTCACTGGAAAGTGTCCCCTGTTCCCCTGATACAACTTCTAACCTGTCCTTTGGGCCCTTCTTTAGGTGAACATCTGCCTGCCCATTTTCTTCATCCTGGCCTGCTTGTTCCTCATCGCCGTTTCCTTCTGGATGACGCCGAAGGAATGTGCGATTGGCTTTGCGATCATCTTCAGCGGGATCCCTGTTTACTTCTTCGGAGTCTGGTGGCAAAACAAGCCCAAGTGGGTTCTCCAAGGCATCTGTAAGTACAACCAGCCCTAAAAATAGCAGCTTCCCGGTGAGCGTGCTACAGCTGGTACCACTGGCTCTCCTTCCTCTAGTGGAAGCTTCCAGGATCTTGGCTCTGATCGATTATTCCGTAATGGTAGCGAGTTCTAACCTGATGATTACCTTATCTACCAAGCACCCAAAACACACGCTGGCTTGCAATAATTGCAAAGTTTGGGCCAAATACCATTTATGGTTTTTTATCTTGGCAAACAGGTGGTTGTTACGCAGCGGAGCACACGGCTGCCTTTCTCCCGCCTCCTGTGAAAGCACAGGGTCAAGTCTTTTATCAGCAGAGAATCCCTCTCTAGTGGTGTAGGAAGGGAAAAGAAATAACAGCGTAACAGTCTGGGCACAGTTGGCCTCAATTTGACTGCTGAAAATTCAGAATTAGCCCCAATCCATCTCTTAGCCAGTGCTAACGTTGCTGATCCAGACCTTGGCATCAAAATGTGGCAGCAGAGCAGAGGGAGGGGAAAATCCCCTGGATGTTTTATCTTACAAGGTTTATTTCTAAGGTATCTTCATACAAGGTTTTCCAGCAGCTGACCATGACCCCACGGTGTGTTCCAAAGGGGTGGGGAGGCTGCGCTTGGCACCTGTAACCTCTGTCTGAACAACTGAATCAAGAAAGTCAGTCCGTGTTGTCCAAGTAACTAAACTCCACCATCTGCCTCCCAGCTCTCGTACAACAGCCTGACCTAGAAAAGCAGACGAGTAGAAATGCCCAGCCTTAGCTGGATGCTTTTTATGAAGAAGAAAAAGGCTTTCAACAGTGCTCAGCACTTGTTATTCTTTTTTTTTTTTTCCTCCTCTCTCTCACACACACACTCACTCACTTTTTTATTCTGAGTATTAGGCTCAGTTCCTGGAAAAGCCATTTTTGCAGTGCCTGGGTGGCAAATTACCATATTAATTGTTTTCCGCCACCAAAGGCTTGTAATGAGAATATAGAAAATATTCTGAGAACACAGAATGATAATCCTGCAAATGTCTGGTTAGAAACATAAGAACTTTAAACACGCGTCACTCACTTTTTTATTCTGAGTATTAGGCTCAGTTCCTGGAAAAGCCATTTTTGCAGTGCCTGGGTGGCAAATTACCATATTAATTGTTTTCCGCCACCACAGGCTTGTAAGGAGAATATAGAAAATATTCTGGGAACACAGAATGATAATCCTGCAAATGCCCAGTTAGAAACATATGAGCTTTAAACACATGTGTATATTCATATATTGCAGATAATTTCATCACCTCCAACTGATCTGAGTTTGACTTTGAGTGTAGTCAGAATTAGTGTTAGCTTTACCTGTCTCCTAGCCAGCCATGAGACAGCCAGACTATCTCGTGATCTCCAAACAGGCCGTGAAGCAGCAGAAAGCACAGGTGTGTTTGGGTACCAGCCACCGAAACCGACGGGTGGAAAAATAACGTGACTTCACTTTGGCGCCTTTCCTGTGCCAACTTGCATCTGAAATGCTTCCTTTGCTCTTCCCCTGCTCTCTGCAGGGCAGTGGACTCTGCCTGGTGCTCAGTCTGCTGATTTGGGTTTGTCCTGGGTACTTGAGCCTTTAAAGAAGCTGCGTGCACCTACAGCCCAGGTTTTCAAAACTGGAAATAAAAGCATCGCCTCACATTTTTTGCACCCATTCCTGCTACTGTGCCTGACTCTGGCTGCTTGCAGTCCTGGCATCCAAACGTCGTTACCGTGTCACCATGCAATTAGAAACTGGCATCACAAAGTACTGGAGCCTCTCTGGGGGCAGTGCAGCATCCCTGCTGCCGGGGCAGAGCTGCTGGTGTTACGAGTTTAAGTTCTGGGTGTGAGTAGAGAGTAGCCCGTGGCTCATTTGCTTTCAAGTCTTAAATTGCCTTTGGACTTATCTTGCTCAGAACCACGGTGGGGAGGCAAATGGGTCAGCCCTTTTGGGGCAGAGCGTCATGAACTGAGACCGAGATACACGTTGGGCTCTCTGCGTGCCCTCTCTGACCTATACTTCTCTTTCTTCCCCATAGTCTCCGCAACAGTCCTGTGCCAGAAACTGATGGAAGTGGTTCCGCAAGAATCCTAAGCGGGAAAAGCAGAGACATTCAGCTCGAGGAAACGCACAATATTATTTTAAGACGACACCACAAGGAGAAAACGCTTCTGATCCCTCGTAAACGAAACCCAGGCACTGGAGCACCCCCCGTCGGAGCTGCTTCGTGTCTGACACCATGCCCCCCAGCTCTGCCTTGCCTCCTCCAGCTCCTCCATCACCACCCTTCAGCCCGGCAGATGAGCAACCCTGCGATGAGAAGTTCTTGGTACGAGCGTGGGCCAGGAGGAGGAATTCCTGCCGGCAGCTCCACAGGGGTCCTGCCTGCCAGGCAGCAGCGAGTCCTCTCAGCCTCTGTGTGTGTGTGTGATACTGAGGGCTGCACTTCAGCTCTGTGTAGGATTACTTGGTTGGGGTCTGGGATCCCCCAAATGATGGGGGATCTGCTCGTGAGCTCGGTTTGAATGTTGCCAGCCCTACGGACGTGGCTGTGTCCAGGACTGGGCCTGTCGCAGAGCCGCAGGGCGGTCCTCAGACTGGTCCACCTGCCTTACCTGGTCAAGGGAGGGTGGTTGGGAAGCAAAGGTTGGCTGATGTTGGCTCACACGCTCACACACACACAAAGTCATACCAAAATACGTGCTGCTGGATGTGTTGGACTCTGTCCACGGGCAGTGACTTAAGTGAGACAAGGCAGAGCAGAATTAGTGTCAGAGAAACGATGTGAGGAGGCCTCATCTGACTTTCATTGCGTTCCTAACAAGAGCACTCTGGGTTCCCTGCCACTGCCTGGCTTTTAACTCTCAGATCCAAGCCATCTCCCTACTATTGAGCCAATCCTCCCGTGGCCCTGTGAATTAGCACTGGGGCAGGTGCAGGCCTGAGGGTGGAGTTCCTCCTGATAAACCCAGGGAATTGCAATTAGCAGAACATCCTTGGCTTGCTCATTCCATGTGTTTCTGTAGATAGGCTATCCAGCATGGCATGAGCAACATCATGCTCTTCAAATGGCCCTCTCCATTGCCCTCAGTGTGATTCATGTTTGCCCCTAAACCATTTGCAAAGAGAAAATATAGGTGGGATTCCCTTGGCCCGTTCCCTGGAGTTGGTCTGTGCATCGCCTGTCACCGTGCCCTTTGTTATGCTGTGTCTCCTCTAGAACACGCAGTGGAGATGGGACCAGCTGGGTCTGGGGGTGCAGAAAGGGGCAGATGTCCCCAGATGCCTGGAGGTAGATGGTCTGTTTTGCTCTAGGAAGCAGAGACTGGGGGCCTGTTCCTCCTTCATGCAAAACTGCAGCATCAGGCTTGGCTTGGTCACCCAGCCAACATCCCTCACCACCTCCCTCCCGTTCAGGGAGTGGTCTTTGAGCATGAACCACCATCCGCATGTGAAAGCTGCTGTCGTGGGTGGTGCAGCCCCATCCCCTGAGCCCACCCAAAATTCCTCTAGTTCCCGAGTAATCAAAGCTGTCCACTAAGGAACACATTGCTTTATTTGGTCAAAAGTATCACCTTTTCAGCACAACTGCAGTTCTTGGAACAATTTGCTCGTGATGCCTCTGTGCTCGAGGTGATAGTCAGCTGGAAATCAAAAGCATCTTTTTCCCACAAGTGAGCTGTTACAGATCTTCTTTGTGCTTGTGCTTTGTGCAAATGGGTTGTTGAACTACTTTTTCTCCTCAATATTTTTGTGAACTAAGCTGTTTGGAAGCCAGGATCCTCCAAGAGCTAATGCTTTCTACTGGATTCTCCTCTTAGCATAGAGTTACTTTGGATGAAGAGGCATTAAGGACACCAATGGTACTAGCTCATGCTTTTGTCTTTCTAAGAAGTTCTTTAGCAAAAAAAAAAAAAAAGAAAAAAAAAAAAGGTGTGTCTGTTATAGCAGGTGGCAGCTTCTGTTCAAGTGTGTGTGACAGTGACCGTGGCTACGTCAACGAGTGTCTCCGTGCAGCTCTTTGCTCTTGCTTTGCCAACCACACGTCTTTGCTTTGAGGCAGTGCAGGAGGAATAGGTGAGACAATCATCACGCTGAAAACCTTTGCTGTCGGGTTGCTTCTTCCACGGCAGCGCAGTGTAGAGACACCCAGACCAGCCCAGGTGCCGCTTCACACGTGTCGGTGTGGAGCTCTCCTGGAGCAAAGTTACCCTGTGGAGAATTGCAGCTGGTTTGGGTGTATCTACAGTGCAGAAGAACCCAAAGTTGTGGCCAGTGCCTGGCTGTTCAGGGACCTGTGCAATGAATGAATTGGAGCATCTCAGATCCAGTGCCTGTGGAGACACATTTGCATAAATAAGGTCATGAACCGTAAAATCTGAACTCTTAATTTTTTGGAATCCCTCTTCCAGCTGAAGGCTGAGATGTTTTGGCAGGGCAGTGATGGGAAATCGCTGCTTGTGCTGGACCTGTATCATCAAGGCAGAACCTCAGTCTGTCACCTTCCACTTGGCCTGCAGCTTTTTGGCTGCAATGGTCTCAGGGCTGGTTTCCTGCAGGGTCTGGGTTCAGCGCAGTGCTAACATGTACCAGCAGAATTAATTGTGATGCAAAGGAAAGGGATTTTAATTCTCAGCCACCTCTATCTAATGGAAATTAGCACTCAAGTCCAAGCCACAGAGAGCTCAGAAATAGGTCCAAATCTCCCAAAAGCGTGGGGTTTGCTTGGTTTGGACACTTCTTTAAATGACTTTCATCAGTGATGAAGACGATCACTACGCAATATCCTCTTGGTGAACCTTTCACGCTGGTTTTAAAGAGGAGATGTCACACTGAGAAATATTTTTTTTTTTTAATTAATTAACTGATCTTAATTAAATCCTTAACTCGCTTGCTCTTGATGAATTTTCATGATTTTATCACTTGCTGCTAAAGATCTTTCTTTTGTACTAACCTGCTGGCTCTGGCATTGGTACCATATGGTTGCTGGTGATCTCACCAGCATCTCCATGGCAATGGGGGTATAGGAAGAAACTGAACCAGGTACCAGCACAGAATGACAAAAATGTTAAATTTGGTCAGCCACAGCTCACATCTCAAAGATTACCTTTCAAAAATCTGATTTCTTTTATCCCTGATCCGTTGAGCCTGATGGTTCCCCTCCACCGGAGCTTGGTGACATGGCTATAAGAGGTTGGGTTTGGTTTTTTTTCCCTGGATGTAAGGGAGTAAAACTGAATTTCATTTTATAAAGAAAACACAACTAAAGTAATTTTCACTCTTAGGAGTGAATCTGCTGCTAGCAGCATCAGCAGTAAAGCTTGTAACTCAGATCAGTGACCAGGAGTGTCTGTTGCCCTCAGGGGCTTGCCATGTTCAGCTGGATTTTGCTATGGAAAAAAGAGAGAATACATCCCTGTGAAAGACCTCCTTGCTGCTTGTTTTCCTCAAATGTGGGATGAGATGTGTCACAGAGAACAAGGGGAGCAACAGAGACTGCACAGAAAATTTCTCATCGTTCCCAGCACTGGATGTGGGATTTTTCTGTTGTTTCTCTGTTTGTTTGTGCTCTTTTGAGCCCGTGATCAGTCATGCCTGTTGGGAACCACCAAGGGAGACAAACCCTTCCCGCAAAGGACACGTACAGCCGCAGTGACTGTGCGTTTGCTTTCCTAAACAGTAGCTACAATTAAACGAGGTACCATGTGAATCTATTTCATATGACAGTATTCAGCAAATACAGCCAGAGCAGTTGTGTTGGTGGAATCATAGAGTCATTTAGGTCAGAAAAGCCCTTTAAGATCATCAAGTCCAACCGTGGAGCCGTGGCTGTGCAGCTCTGCAAGTGATGGCTGTGCCCTAGTAGTCCCTCAGTCCTTGTACTAACCCCCCCACTTCAGTTATTGCTCTTCTTAGTTTGTTTTTAAGTATTTAGGCTCCCAGGCAGCCTGTTGTTAGGGGTGTTCATGGAATAGCATCCCGCAGGGATTGCTAAACAGTAGGGCAGGGGCCTGCAGGAGCTGGCGGCGGGCGCTTCCTTGCCCCTTGGGTTCCTCTTTCTAAATGAGAAACTTTCTTCCCAACTGAGAGGGGAACCAGCCCTGAAAAACCTTCCTGGACAAAAATAGGGGGTATTTAAGTAATCTTAGGTGGGTTATTATTATTATTTCTTTTTTTCTCTTTTTTTTTTTTTAATGTTATTAACTTCCTGCAGTATTTGCAGTGTTTTCCATCTCAGATACGGTGTTCTGGTAAACAGGCTTTTGTTTTTAATGGCACCCCGTGTGAATGCCAAGTTCAAAGGGACTCTGTCGCTGTCGAACAAACTTTAAAAGACCCTTCGACTGGATTAAATCTCAGGAGAAGCGGCTTTGTTCTCCGAGCCCTCTCCCTGTGGGCGGCTCAGGCAGGGGAATAAATGGGGGCTTCTCCTTGGGCTCCTCCTCTGTGGGTCTGCCCCCGGTGTGGAGCCCTTGAGGGGCAGTGGGGTCACAGCAGAGCCCTTCCCCAACCACAGAGAGATGGTTGAAGTGGCAGAGTCCCAGTCCGGCTGTGGGCAATCACAGGGAAGGCTTCCTCTTAGTCTGGGAAGGTGCCCGTGCCTTCAGCCGAGGCTACAGTGTTCTCCGGCTTCAATAAAAAAAATAAATAAAATAATTTTAAAATAAATTAAAAAAAAAGAAGGAAACAGCCAAATGTTGTTGTTACACAACGCTCTGGCTGTTTGGGGCTATTCTTGCGGGACGCCAGCTTTTCCATCAAGCCGTTGCACAACTCCCATTTCTGATGACATCAAAGGGGAAGGCGATGTTGGCCATTGAGAAAGGGCTGGAACGTGGAACAAAGCTTCCTACTGGAGCTTGGGAAAGGGCAGCCCAGGGGCCAGACGGCTCCGCTTCCCCCTGGGGCTCATGCTGAGGTCTGCCCGGCCGGCGTCACCGCCTCGCCAGAGCCCCACGGAGTGAATCGCAGCCTTGTGCTGGCCCTGGGAGCTCCAAGAGCATCTCCAGCCATGGGATGGGCTGGGATGGCTGGAGCCGGTGGCACTTGGCTGCCAACCAGGGATCACAGCAGCCAGCTCCCCATGGCGATGGGAATCTGCTCCCATGCCTCCCCCGGGGACCCTGCCCATGCCAGGACATCCTGTGGGACCTCAGCCTTGAGGGATGCTCCAGGGGCTCTCCATTTCTGGTGGCTTCTTGAGGAGCTACAGCCGGCCACCAGCCTTATGCTGGTTTTGCCTGTACTTGAGAAGTTTCTTCCCAGTTTACACGGTCTGAACTGGAACTAGCAGCTGGGGTTGGGGTGTGTGTGTGTGTGTGTGTGGGATGCTGCTGGGAATCAAAGCCAAGTGCCGCTCAGCTGCACGTAGGAAACGTGGCTTGGGTTAGGTCGCCCCATAAGGAACCGATGTCCAGAGGTTTATTTCTTTGCTTTTAGCCCCCTTCCTTGCGTGAGAAGGGGTGTTGCTTCCTCCAGCTGTTGAAGTGTTGATGAGGAAAAAGAATAATATTTTTTTAAATACTGAATTAATTTTTAAATGGCCTAAAAGAGACTTTATATCTACGCCTAAATTATTCCCGTTGGGTGAGGTTCATCCCGGCGCAGGGGCTCTGCGAGCGCTCGGATGCTGTCCCAGGCCCCGGCCGGTGGGATGTGGGGCTGCAGGGCTGGGCTGCGTCTCCTGCGCTGGGATGAATTCCACACCTAGGGAAAAAAAAATCCTGATTTGTTCCGAGGACGGGGTGAGGTCCGTGTCCCACCTAAATCCTTGCAAAGGAAGAGTTTTAAGTGGTACCCAGACCTTGCGCTGGCCCGCAGAACAAAAGGAGGGTGAAATTCACTTCTGGTGAATAATCTGACTTTTCAGAGATACCTTTCTTCTAAAGTTTGTATTTTTGTTGGTTCTTTTTTTTAAAAAACACAGAAAAAAGATCTTAAGATACAGAAGAAAATCTAGATCTGATTTACAATTTTGTTATATTTGGTTGCTTTAAAAATATTTTACTAATTTAAATGTTGCTGTAGATGACATTCTATTTATTTTAAGGGGTAAATATCTTTTAGTCTTAATACTTCTACAGTAAGCGCTGTCTATTTACAATGTTTGTGTTCCTGTCAACACAGCTATTCCACGACTGACCAAGTGCTGGTCAGCCAGTAGTAACTTAATCAAATTGCCTTGTAAAAGAAGATGTCTCCTGCAATGTATTTTTTTTTTCTAGTATTTCTTGATTCTTTTATGTCTGTGGTTAACAAATCTGTTAAATGTTTGGGTTGTTCTATGTTTTGGGTTGTTGTTTTGTTTCGTTTTTTTAACAAAGAAAGCTGAATTACAACTCTCTTGTTGCTGGTCTTTGCCTCGGAAAGTTTTATTTTGCCAAAGGTTGCCTTGTTTATGCCACATCCCAAGCCCTGGGTTCCTCTTGCAGACGGGTCCAGGAGCGCAGCAAAGCAATGAGAACATCCATTCCTCTATCACCATCCTCCTTTTTAAAATTCTAGTTGCCATTTCTGGTTTTGCCTGTGTTAAAACTAAGGGTATGGGAAAGTGGGTGAGCTTTGGGCAAGAGGTGGGAGCAGAAGACGGATGTCCCAGTTCCCAGGGTGTATCTGCGTGGTTATGTGACAGAGATGCTGCTGGTAAGAGCTTGCAGCCAAAAAAAATTGTCTGAACAGCAGGAAGGTATCACACTTTATGTGGGGAAAGTGCTCCTCTGCTGCAATCCCTCTTCCCTGTGTCTTTCCATGCTAGAGAGATGCAGGAGCCCTGGCTGGCGGGAGGGGAGGGGATGCTCAGGCGTACGGAAAGGTGGAGGTGTGGGGGTTACGTGAAGATTTGTGCTTTTGGGTGGGCAGATGGTAGAGCTCAGGAGCTTTCCTTCCTAAAGGAGAGATGGGGAGGGACTCTTTATCAGGGAATGTAGTGATAGGACGAGGGGAAACGGTTTTAAACTGAAAGAGGGGAGATTTAGATTAGGTATCGGGAAGAAATTCTCTGCTGTGAGGGTGGTAAGACACTGGAACAGGTTGCCCAGAGAAGTTGTGGATGCCCCATCCCTGGAGGTGTTCAAGGCCAGGCTGGATGGGGCTTTGACCAGCCTGCTCTAGTGGATGTGCCCCTGCCTATGGCAGGGGGGTTGGAACTGGATGATCTTTAAGGTCCCTTCCAACTCTAACCATTCTATGATTCTATGATGATGCCGAGACTATTCTCTTGACACAATCCTTCACCCCCCAAGAGGAAGAAATGGGCATGAAATGCTAATGGAGCTTAGGAAGGCTGCAAAGAAAACCTAGTATTAAATGGAGACTTCAAAGATGCTTACAGAGGCTGAATAGATCTTCTACACAAAGTTCATGCTGAATTTTAGGTGCTACAGTCAACTGATACCCTGAACAATGAGAGAAGAGAAAGAAGGCACAATTGCCTCTTTCACAAGAAAGAGGCAATTCTTGATTTACACTCAAACATTGTGGCTGTGTCAGAAAGTAACACTGGAAGAGAGATCTGCAGCATTACATGCTCAAGCCCAAGCCCAGCTGCTACAGTAACACTTAACTTTAAATATAGACATATAAAAAAAGGCAGAAGTTAGGGGTGCAGAAATGAGAACACAGCTACACGGATAACGTGTGTGAGAAGGGGCAGGAGGCTCTCTGACACGGCATTAGAGACTCTTAGTGGAGGAATTAGAGTAATCTAAGAAAAACATCTCCAAAAGCCGGCGTGGCTAAACAGCAGAGTAGCCTGTGCCATTAGCCATTTAAAAGAGATCCTTCAAAAAGTGACAGCTGTGGCCAAAGAAGGAAAACGGAGGAGAGGATAAACTCTGGCAAATTAAATACAAAACCTCAATAAGACAGAGTCACCAGTAGGTTCGCAGGCGGGAGAAGGGCTGTGAGGCCGGCGGGAAGGCTGCCAGGGGGGCGCGGGGCCCCGTGCTGGGCTGCAAAGCGCTTCAGCAGACAGATAAGGCAGTAGCACAGGAACCAAATGAGTTATTTGCATCCGTGTTTGCTACGGGCAGGCTCCCTTGGAGAAGTTCCCGTGCTGGAGCCTTCCTCCACAGGGAGACAGCCCGAGGAACTGCAGCCAGAGAAAGGACGGTGTTTGGGAGCAAAGCTCCAGCTGTGGGATTCAGAAGCCTTCAAGAGCTGCAAAGGGTCCCCCCCTCCCCAGATTGAGTGCTACCAGCAGGTGTGTGCAACTGGTGGCACAACAATGCCCGGGGTTTGGGAGGTGACAAACAGGGTGCTGGTACCAGTAATGGGTACAGGAGGAGCCCCGACTGGTCGGATGATCATGAGCCAACAATGTTCCCTTGTGGCCAAGAAGGCCAATGGCATCCTGGGGTGCATCAGGAAGAGTGTGACCAGCAGGTCCAGAGAGGTCATCCTGCCCCTCTGCTCTGCCCTGGTGAGGCCCCATCTGGAGCACTGGGTCCAGTTCTGGGTTCCCCAGTTCAAGAAGGACAGGGAACTGCTGGAGAGGGTACAGCAGAGGGCTACAAAGAAGATTAGGGGCCTGGAGCATCTCATGAGGAGAGGCTTAGGGACTTGGGTCTTTTTAGTCTAGAGAAGACTGAGGGGGGATCTGATCAATGCTTATAAATACTTAAAGGGAGGGTGTCAAGAGGATGGGGCTGGACTTTTTTAGGGGTGCCCAGGGATAGGACAAGAGGAAATGGGTACAAACTTGAATGTAAGAAGTTCCACCTAAACATGAGGAGGAACTTCTTTACTTTGAGGATGGCAGAGCACTGGAACAGGCTGCCCAGGGAGGGGGTGGAGTCTCCTTCTCCGGAGACATTTAGAATGTGCCAGGACAAGTTCCTGTGCAACCTGCTCTGGGTGGACCTAGAGGACTCGGACTCGCTGGTCCCACCAGCACGGGGCGAGTGCTCAGGCAGAGGGGCCAAAACAAAGGCAGGAAGTGTTTTTTCACACAGGGCAGCGTTAATCACGCACTCAGTGTCAGGGGATGTTGTTGAGACAACTTTTACATGTGCATTAAAGTTTAAGAAAAGCTCAGACAAAAGGGTTTGTTATGAACTGCAGGAGCCCAGGTGCTGTGCAACCTGCTCTGGGTGGACCTAGAGGATTCGGACTCACTGGTCCCACCAGCACGGGGCAAGGGCTCAGGCAGAGGGGCCAAAACAAAGGCAGGAAGTGTTTTTTCACACAGGGCAGCGTTAATCACGCACTCAGTGTCAGGGGATGTTGTTGAGACAACTTTTACATGTGCATTAAAGTTTAAGAAAAGCTCAGACAAAAGGGTTTGTTATGAACTGCAGGAGCCCAGGTGCAGCCCCAGCCTCAAGGAGCACTGTCCTTGTGAGGTCAGGCTGGAAGGACAAACCTGGGAAGGGATTAAACCTCACATTTCAGGTGAGTTTTTCCTCAAAGATCATCACTGCTGGTTGCTGGAGAGGTGGTCCTTTGGCCATGTGTTGGCTCTTGGCTCGCCTCAACTTGTCCTTTCCTTTGGTACCACTGCTGCATCCATGTCTTCATTTCCAGAGGATGAACATCAATTCATCCGTGGTGGGCAGGACAAGCCCCGCAGTGCTAGAGGAAGCCTCATGCTGGGCTTTGCCCGGGAAGGACTCACTGCATGGGAGCCACATGTGGACCCAGCGTGGTCCCCAGGCAGCGCTGAGCTGTCTAGACCCATCTCCCCAGCTTCAGTCTTGCAGCTGCTGGTCTTTTGTCCTGATGGCTGGAGGTTGCAGCGGTGATGGGAGGAGGCAGGCGTGGGAACACAGCCCTTCTGGAGGACACACAGGCAGCGAGATTGATGTTTTTCCTCCCTTGAACCAAAAATATGACTTTTTTCTCCCCAAACCCAGGAGCACCTATGTGTTTGAGTGGCAGGGAGAGAGGTGTGGGGGTCTGCCACCAAAGAAGGGTGAGCCCTTGGAGCAGCAGATAGAAATGCCTCTGCAAATTGGAGGCAAGCCCAGCAAAAAGCAATAAAATAGTTGTTTACTCGAAGATTTGTGCAAAAGATGAAAGGCACTAAATATGTTTGGGTTGGGAAGGAGCCACTAAGGGTGGGGTGTGACATGGGCTGGGAACCGCTTCAAGGCTGCAAACATAAATGAAAGCAAGGAGCTGACGAGGAACTGGGGATAGAGCTAATAAAGGGATCCTCTGAGGCAGATAAATTAATACACCAAAACCGAGATACAGGTATGAGGAAATTTAATAAAAGGAGAACTGATGTTGACAAACTTCCTTACAGCAAAATATACCTGACAGCAAAACTGTCCCCTTAATATTGAAGCAATGGAAGTTCTGTTTGGAAATATTTTTTTTTTTTTTTTTTAAATAAATAAGAAGTTGCTAATATTTCACCTGGTGTACAAAAGCCACGAAACAAAGGTATCTCTTCAGAGCATGGCAGTTTGTCCTGATTTTGCTGGAGACCTATTTAAGGCATCAGAACTCAGTGACACTTGATTTAGAGAAGTGTGGGTGTTATAGATCTTTAACAAAAGTTTGCCTCCAACCCCCTGATCACCAGACCTTGAAATGTAACAGAGGGGTTTTTTTTATAGACTTTTGTAAGGTTTTTTCCCTTCTGAGTATTTACTGAATAGGCAATTTTTCTGCCTATCTCAGGCTGCCATTCCCCTCAGGCACGGATGGCAGAGGAGAGAGTGGTGTTGGGGGGGACGACCTGGAAATCTGGGGTCTCCTCCAGCCAACGACCATTGTGCCTGGCTGTGCCTCAGTTTCCCCAGCTGTGGACGATCTTGCCCACCTGCTAAGAACGGGTAAAAACCTCTGCCTGAATCAGATGGGGCAATAAGTGCTGGAAATTCCCCTGGTCTTCATCCAAGCAGCACAATGAGAAAGACAAATCCACATTTGAATCCCTACATGGAATCAGAGACCAGGGAAGTAAGAAATAACAACTCCTCTTGCCTGAGCCTCTCTTTCCTAATTCACTAACTTGTCCTTCAGATGCTGTCCTTCAGGGGCCACCGTGCAGGGCAGCTTGTGCTCACGTGAAAAGCTCCACCACAACCCTGACCCCCAAAGTCAAGGTTTTCTGGAGCAGAAAATGTACCTGTTGCCTTAGTCTTGTTAAATACCTGCCGTGGGGAGCTCCCCAGGTCTGGTTTAGCTGAGAGCCCTTTCAGCACAATCCAATCAGCCACCGTGGCCACCAGGAGCCATTGGCTGGCAAGGAGCCGAGCGGGAGCCCAGTTTGGATGGAGCTGGCAGGGCGCTGAGCAGGGGAAGGATGCCGGGGAGAGGGACAGTGCCTGAGACAGCAGAAGCAGGCAGGATGACAGATTATGTAAGAAAAATAATTCTTTTTTTGTATTAAGAGCCCT